CACATTTACACTACAGTGAAGCCTTGAAATTAGTCTGAGGCAGGCTCCCCTAATGTGGACTCACTACCTTGATTTAGAGCCCCAGGAAACACTAGGGAGTAATTACTTTGAATGGCCCTGGGAAGGAGCTATTTTGAAATAGCAGCGGTGGAGCATCCACACCCCAGCTATTTTGAAATAGCTATTTTGGGACAGGCGTTATAAATCATGGAATGAGGTTTACAGAGGTTGGAATAAGCCATCCATTATTTCGAAATCACGGAATGACTGTGTAGACACTCGCATTGTTATTTCGGAATAACGGCCGTTATTCCGAAGTAACGCTGCTGTGTAGACTCCCCGTACGAGTGCATTTCTAAGTTCTCCTCCAGGGGACTGGAAGTCCTCCTCCTCCATTGGGCCCTGTCTTGTTCCAAGGCTGGGAATGGCTAGGGGGCTCTTCGGACGGCCCTGTCACACCGCAGTCCAACGCGTTTCCTGTTTATAACTGCTCAGATGTTAATCTCCCCGTCCCATCCACTGCCTGCTGATTTCAGAGGCTCTTCATCTCTGTCCAAGGACATTATTCACGTCCACTTCGTTATTCAAACGTGGGCGAGCATACAAGGTTTGTTACAGACTTGAGTGCTCCCTAATTCAATTCATTTGATTTGAACAAGGGACAGGCAATTGTTATGACCACACCTTACTCTGCTCTTTTGTAGCCCGGTGGGGGAGGGGAGAGAGCTGCATCTGGGTGCTGTAAGGAGGCTCTTTCTCTTTGTTGTGCATGCCCAGATGAGCAAGTGGACTTGCTTGCAATTTGTGGTAGGTTCGTACATGATCGCAGAACTGCCTGCGGGGTTGGTTTGTTCGGGTGGGGCTGCATGTGAGAGAGGTGCCCGCGGCTGGCTTGGTATTGGTCGGATTGCTGATGCTGTTCACCATCTGGTAGCCAAGTCCAAGGACCGATTTCAGTAACCTGCAACCTCCCTGGTGCACCTGGGGGAATTCTGGCCTAAACATTCTGCCGAATTCTCCATATTTTAGTCAAAACAACACAACATCCCCACGCCAGCTTCAGTTAGCTTGGTCATTTACTTCAAAATACCTGTCAGCAGGTAAGTCCACAGCCAGCCAGACACACAAGATTCAGGGAGTGTGTTTTGAGAAACTGGTTGCTGACTAGACCTGTTAATACAGAACGTGGGTGATAATTAATTCAAACTACAGCACAGAGCTGAATCTCCTATGCCCTCAAAAAGGGGTGTGTGTGTGTGTTTGCGGGGGGGGGGGGAACTGGGTGATGGACTGGGTGATGGAGGAGCTGAGGGAGAGGGAAGCAATTGCTGGGAAGGAGCCTGCGAGAGAAGCTGGAGAGGCAGGAGAAGTATGGAATGTTTTGGGACGGGGAGGGATTATTAGAGAGCTGGGCAGCCTCCCCCATGCAGACCCAGGCTACGTCCTGGCTTCTCCTTGTCTGCCAGGCACATCTGTCCCTGTCCCCATGTGTCCCTGCATCCCCATTACCATTCAGCTCTCTGCCCCTCCATTAGCCTTTCTGATCCCCAGGCTGTGAGACCCTTCAGAAATCTTGCTCTGTCTGTCTCCCTCCATATCTCATTCCTCCTCCCTTGGCCCCACCGGCAGGGGCTGAGAGTAATGCACATAGTGCTGGGCGGTACCTTGTATTCCAGCTTGGCTGCCTGCCCCCTGCAGGATGCCCTGGGAATGGAAGGGGTTCCCTGAGCTGCCTCCCTGCCTGCCCGGCGTGGGGATCTCTCTGCACGTACCATGCTGCAGTAGGGACTGGATATCGGCCCCCTAAGCCCTCTCCAGCTCCTGTCCTATGGGATGGGGGACTGGGCCTTACTCTGCAATGTCAATTGTGTGCGACTGATACGCAGGCCTGGGCCGCCGCGAGCCAGTGGTTCCAGATGGAGCAGCTCTGCTCTGAACCTTCTCGGGAGCTACTTGCTCCTCTCTGGTTAGGGAACACTAAGGAGCCTTTGCCCAGAAGCCCTGCTGTTTCCCGATCGATTTTTTTTCCCCTTTCTGCAGCCCCAACCTGGTACTTTTTCATGGACCCCGGTGGCCACTGCGGGTTACAAAACCTTTCGACGAGCCCTCGATCTTTCTTTATTGCTGCGGCAGCAGCTGACGCCTGAGCAGCTGCCCAGCTTGGAAAAAATTGCTGAGCCAGGGAGCCTGGTTTTAAATCAAAAGCTGTTCCCTACCTGTCTGCTGGACTCAGCGTCCTGCTGTAGCCACATAGCTCTGTGGTCTTCCCTGCCTGGAGGGGGCCAAGCTAGCACTGGAAGCCATTCAAATGGTCACCCGGGAGGTCCTAAGCATCTCTGACCTGTGGGTCCCCCCCTTAGCGGTGAGAGGGGAAGCCTGTCTCTGTGACACCCCCCCCGCCCCCAGTTTGTAAACTCACAGCTGTGTACTCGCCAGGTGCCACTGGGGAACTCTGGTGTGTCTGTTCTCCAGGGAACTAGAATGAGACCCACCAATTCATTTCACATCCACCCCTACCCCCCAGCAGACATAAAGGTGGGTGGTTAAGGCACAGTCTGGGGAGACCGGGTTTCAAGTCCTGGCTCTGCCACAGATGTCCAGCATATCCTTGGGCAAGTCACTTAAGTGCCTATATACTTCTGAGACGCTAGGCCTAACTCCTGTTGATTCAATCAGGGTGAAGCACCGAAATACCATTGGACCTTTGTGCCTGTTTCCCTTCTGTACTATGGGGCTAATGGCTCTGCCCTGCCATGTGGGGCAGGGAGAGGGGAGGGGGAAGAGTTGGGAGGATCAAGGCATAGATTGAGATACTTCAGTGTGATGGAGGTCATGTAAGTATGTTAAACTAGCAGAGATGGGGCAGGAGGCACACCAGCTGCCTGGCTTCATGCCCGGGGCTTCATGCACTTCCCACCTCTGCCACTGATTGACTGTGTGACCTTGAGTGAATCACTTCCCCTCTTTCCCGTCTGGAGGTAACAGTGCTCTGGTGAAACACAAGTGGAAGTATTTGTGAAATCCGGCTCTGCTCTCCCCGTCCCTGCTAGGGGGCTCAGTTCTCTAAGTGGGTGCTGTGCTAGCTGGACATGCAAAGGAGGAGAGAGATTCTGACCAGACCCAGCTGCTATCAGGACACACAAATAACTTCTAATCAGGGAGCGCCAGGGATTGAGCCATATCTTGTTAAAACAGAAGCTGCTTCAAGGCCGGCAGACGGCAGTGATCCTTTTACGGTAATGCAGGGCCTGGCCAATCAGAACTGGAGCTAATGACTTTCCTCTTCTTGCTGCAGTTTTTCAGTTCATTTAGTGGCGTCTCCATGGAGCCAGGTCCCCTTTCCCTCTGACCTTCTGCCAAGGCATTACTTGGCATGGTTGTGCCTGCTATGACAAGGGGCTGCTGATCCCCTCTTTTGGGATGTGGTGGATCACAGCCATGCTTCGCTCTCCTGTAGCACTGTCCTGCTGTAGCTCTTCAAAGAAAGGCAAGTAGCTATATCCCCATTATATAGATGGGCAAACTGAGGGACATGGCAGGGAAGTGCGTTGCCAAGATCAGTAGCAGCGCTGGGAATAGAATCCAGGCTATCTCTGACTTGTTCTAGTGCCTTGTGCTAAGTCTGTTAGGGATCTGTTTGGCCCAACCTGCAGTAACCCCTTTCCGACCACGGTGTCCCTTGTACTCCTTTGAACTGCTTGAACTAAATCGGTTTAAATTCACCCTCTGCTTAGACCGTGCTGCTCTGTGTATAGACCAGGCCTTACTGAGCTAAGCTTAAGGGAGGCTGAAATTGGTTTGTGTGTGGTTACACTCAGGGTTCACCCTCTTTACATCGATTATTTATGCTGCTGCAAATTTTCTTGCCTGGCCGTCGATTTGTATCCGCTCACCTCTATAACTGCTCCTTATCCCCGCTTCAAACTTGGTGCCGGATGTAAATGTAAAGGAGGCTAAATTCCTGTACGCCCGGTGCCAAGAGTCCCAAGAAACACAGCTCTCAGGCGGTGTAAAGAGGCTTGAGTTAAAGCAGCTACTGCGCTACTCGAAGAAACCCTGTCCCCAGCTCCTTCGTAAGTTACGTCAGTGGCTGCTCCTTCACACACTGGCAGGGCAGTGTCAAGGGGGGGGAGGAGGGAACGGCTCAGAGTCCAGCTGACACCACATTCTGTGTCCCCTTGGAATCCCGCCTTTGGCCTTAATTTTCCCAGCCAGCGGGAATCAGGAGAGCAACCGACGAAAAGACCCAGCAAAACTCCAGCCAACGGCTCATTGAATTGCAGTTGGCAGCCTGCGTGTCAGCTGTGGGAGGATAGGGAGCCAGGCTCTGTGCGGAGTCCGGGGCACGGCGAATGGAAATTTATCCTTGGCCAGAACAGACGGATGTGCTGGATCGAGTGCTCAGGGGTTTACGAGCTCACTAGACCGGTTTCGCTCTGAGTGGGCTACTCAGTCTGCTGGACAAGGAGCCAAGTGGAAGCAAAGAGCTCGGCGTCCTGGCTCCGCTAGGCGGGGACGGGAGACCGAACTCTCCCTCGCTTTGCGGCCCCGTTGGAGCCACTGCCAGCGTATTTGCGGGTAGAGTGTTCCTGCCCCAGAAAGGGGGCTGTGAAAATACAGCTCCTCTGGCTGCCTTGCCCCCCCATCCTCCCAGGGCTGGGGATCCATGCACGTTGCCCTGGCTCGCCCCTCCCTGATGGACAGCCCCTGGACTGGTGTAGCACCTTCTGAATAGCTGGGGAAGCAGAGGTGGGGGAGAAGAGGCCTTGCTATGCTTGTAAGCTGGGAGGCCCTCTCGCGTTGCCTGGTGGAGAGCTTCCAAATGTCTCCTTGTCTCCGTGCCTTCTGGGGAGTGCTGGATCACCCCCTACCCACGAGCCGTGTTCTTAGCCAGAGCATCATGTGTTCCTTCTATCTCGAAAACTGCCTGTGTTCCCAGGAATCACTAGCCTGTTGCCACACTTGCAATGACACGTTCTTTTTTTCCCATGCTCCTCTAGGGCATTTCCCAGGCAACGTTCATTGGTCATGACTGGGGCGGCGTGGTGGTGTGGAACATGTCCCTCTTCTACCCAGAGCGAGTCAGGTACGTCTCCCCAAAAGTGGGGAGAGGTTAGCATGGACTGAGCTTTCTGACTTAGTTGGCTTTTATTCTGCCCTGAAATGAGAACTTTTTAGGGAGAAAAAGTGCTGAGAAAATGCTCCCGAGTCCCACTAATGTGACCAGAAGACTTTTTTTTTTTGCCACATAAACAATCAGCACAATCGCCAGCTTGGCGCTTGAAAATATTTAATTGCTCAAAACGTCCCTAGAAGTGAGGCGCTACTCTGAAAAGTGACCCTGGGCAAAGTGGACTCCGCTGACTCGCCTGTTGTGAGTGTCAGTCAGAGCGGCTTGTTGTAAGGGCAAACGATTGTTTTCCTTACCACTTTTTATTCCTGGAGAGTCATGCTGCTCCTGGCCCTGGAGTGTAAGAGGAGTGAGTGTCTCTATTATCCCTCTGCCCTGCTCCAGTTCACCATGTACAGCTCCCGCTACCCACCCATCCCAGAAACAATGGCTCTGCTTCCCCCCGGCTCCTTCCAGGTGGTGTTAAAGCTGCATGCGCTTGAGGCTTAGAGGGAGCACCTGGAACTCTCATTTTGGTCTCAAGCCTGCTCATGGGCACTTACCCGTCCCATGTAAATGCTCCCACGTGTTCGCCACCCAAAGCCAGCCTGCGAGTTCAGAGTGGGCTGTTTAAATCAGAGCGTATCATTCATGGTTGTAAACCGGGTCTTCTGCTTTCTTCCTCTCCGAATCCTGCCGCTGGTGTCCCAGAGCGGTGGCTGGCCTGAACACGCCCTACAAACCCGCGAACCCCAAAGTGGATGTCATGGAGATGCTCAAAGCCCGTCCGGTGTTTGACTATCAGCTCTATTTCCAGGAGCCGGTGAGTGCGAGCCGGAGATGTTCTGTTCCCACTGGGCTGAGTGCATACAGTCCAGGGGCTCTGTCCTCCTGCCTGCCAGGCTCGTGATGTTAATGCATCGATAGGCAGCGCTGCCTGAGGAAATGGAAAAGGTGGCTCTGGTGAACGGGTCAGATTCGGAGCCACTGAAAATCTATGGAACTAGACTGATCTCCGTCCAGCTCTGGTGGTTTGCACTGGAAGATCTAGCTCCATAGTGCTGTAAGTGGGATTGAGCAGAGAGGGAGTGTGCACATGGTAATGAATCAGCAGGGGTAGAGAGATTTTCTGATAGAGAAAGTTTCATTGGCAATGCTTGCTGTCCTACTCATAAGACATCCGCTCTTGGCTGTATGCCACCACTGGGGATGTGGTGTGACCCCACGGGTGTGCGCTGTGCACCCGACGAGACGTTAAACTGCCTGTATTTCTTACCGGTGAAGGCAGGGGCTTAAAGATCCCCTAGCTCCCCTCCTGGGACATCTCAACCTCTGGAGAATCCCGTTGTGTAGACGTACCCTAAGACACCCCTAGCTCGGTAGTTCGAGCTAGGTAGGCAAATGAGGGCAACCGGAGTTGCAAATGAAGCCCGGGATTTAAATACCCCGGGCTTCATTTGCATCTTCCCGGGCGCCGCCATTTTTAAATCCCCCTTAGTCCAAACTCCGTGCCCTCGGCTACACGCGGCACGGAGTAGGTAGTTCGAATTAGGATCTCTAATTCAAACTACCGGTACTCCTCGTTCCACGGGAGATCCTAATTCGAACTACCTACTCCGTGCCGCGTGTAGCCGAGGGCACGGAGTGAAGCCCGGGATATTTAAATCCCGGGCTTCATTTGCAACTCTGGTTGCCCTCATTTGCCTACCTAGCTCGAACTACTGAGCTAGTGTAGACGTACCCTTAGTGTCTAGAAAGGTCGGTGGACTCAGAAGATGCTGCAGGATTCATGCACCCTGCATAACAGTCCTGCGCCTGCCTCCTCAGCGGTGGCATGTGAAGAGGCTTGTTCCCGGCGCTCCAGGCACTGGGTGTGGGCGGAGTCAGGTTAAGGCGGGTAGACGCATGCAGCAGTAATGGGCGTGTGCTGTGGTCACGAGCAAAGGCCGCTGGCCCTGGCAAGACAGGACTCCAATTGGCCTTCTCAAGCACAACCAAAGCCTAGGAAGTTTCACAAGCTGCCATGGAGCAAATCCGGAGCGGGATCTGCCAAGGGCAAGGCGGGATTGTCTCCCTCTGGCTGTGCGCCGGGGTGCCTGGCACGCATGCAGCAGTAATGGGCGTGTGCTGTGGTCACGAGCAAAGGCCGCTGGCCCTGGCAAGACAGGACTCCAATTGGCCTTCTCAAGCACAACCAAAGCCTAGGAAGTTTCACAAGCTGCCATGGAGCAAATCCGGAGCGGGATCTGCCAAGGGCAAGGCGGGATTGTCTCCCTCTGGCTGTGCGCCGGGGTGCCTGGCTGTTCTGGCTGACAGCTGCACCCCCCTGCCTCCCAGGGCACGGGCAGCGAGTCCCCGTCTGGGAACGGCACCCAGCATGGAGCTCACTGTGCTGCTGCACCAGCGGGGGGCTTCCCGGTGGCCTTTGCCACACGGCTGGGTGCGCGCAGCTCATCCTCCAGTCAGAGGGAGCTGAGCTCTCACTTGCCACGTGCCCCCTGCTAGGGGCCGTGTGAACATGCCGTTGGCAGCTGCTGAGCCAGGAGTGGGCAGGGGGCTTGCCCCTCCCCAAGCCCATGCGTGCTGCTGGGGTGACGCCCACTCCTCCATGACCCGAAAGGCCCTGGCATGGCCGTGGCTGTCGAACCGGCATCTGCTCCATTATTGTGACTCCTGTGTCCTGGAAAGATCCCCTGTCCCCCAGTTTTTCCACAGTCTCCACCAGTGGCATGGACTTCCTGAGCTCCTGGGTGATGTTCCACCCCTTTTCCCTCTTTCCCCATGTTCCCACCTGCCCTGCCTCTTCCTGCCCCTGTTCCTCCCTCTCTGCCCCAGCGCCTCCTGCACACCTGATTGGGGCGGGCAGCAGGCGCTGGGAGGGAGTGGGAGGCTCTGACTGGTGGGAGGGCTGGAGGGGGAGGAGCTGATGGGTCGGGGAGGAGCTGATGGGTCGGGCAGTAGGCGCTGGGAGAGAGTGGGAAGCTCTGATTGGTGGGAGGGCTGGAGGGGGAGGTGCTGGAGGGGGGAGGAGCTGATGGGTCGGGCAGTAGGTGCTGGGAGAGAGCGGGAAGCTCAGACTGGTGGGAGGGCTGGAGGAGAGCGGGAAGCTCAGATTGGTGGGGGGGCTGGAGGGGGGAGGAGCTGATGGGGTGGGCAGTAGGCTCTGGGAGAGAGTGGGAAGCTCTGATTGGTGGGAGGGCTGGAGGGGGAGGAACTGATGGGGTGGGCAGTAGGCTCTGGGAGAGAGTGGGAAGCTCTGATTGGTGGGAGGGCTGGAGGGGGAGGAACTGATGGGGTGGGCAGTAGGCTCTGGGAGAGAGTGGGAAGCTCTGATTGGTGGGAGGGCTGGAGGGGGAGGAACTGATGGGGTGGGCAGTAGGCTCTGGGAGAGAGTGGGAAGCTCTGATTGGTGGGAGGGCTGGAGGGGGAGGAACTGATGGGGTGGGCAGTAGGCTCTGGGAGAGAGTGGGAAGCTCTGATTGGTGGGAGGTGCTGGAGGGGGGAGGAGCTGATGGGGCGGGCAGTAGGCATTGGGGGAGAGTGGGAGGCTCTGATTGGTGGGAGGTGCTGGAGGGGGGAGGAGCTGATGGGGCGGGCAGTAGGCATTGGGGGAGAGTGGGAGGCTCTGATTGGTGGGAGAGCTGGAGGGGGTGGAGTCAATTGCTGGCAAGTGGGTCTTAATAGCTAGCCCCAGGGTGAGAGGGGTTTGGTACCTCTTGGGGGCTGGGAGAAGGACGGGCTGGGAGCAGAAGTCCTGCCGGGACAGTCAAAGAGCAGCTCCCTTTGATGGGAGTTACAACCCCCAGGGAGGGGGAGAGCGGTTTGGCTCTGCTCTGGGCAGGTCGGCATTAGAAGCGGTACATTGGCGCAGCGCGTCCTGTGAGGACACTGGATACCAACCGGTGAGCGTCTCCTGCCGATAGAGCGCCAGCCAGGACAGCGCCCAGGTCTCTGGGACTTGCGTCGCGTTCTCACATCCCTGAGCCGACGTCAGTTAGAGTGACTTGAGTAGCCGTGTAGACCTGCCCTCTGTTTGGAGCAGGGGAGATGGCCGCTAGCTTCGTCCGGCCTCGGCGCATCCCTAGGGTGCAGCCTCTCTCGACAGCGGCTAAAAACCCATTCGCACGCGCCTCTCGTTGCTAGGGGCCCGGCGTCTGGGCTGGGCGGAGACTGGCGTGTGTGTCTCCGCTGGCGGAGGCAGAAGGCCGCGCCACGCATCGTTGAGAGCGTGGAGGAAATCCAATTAACTGACTTAAACTGCTGGTGCGTGGCAAGTTTTCCAGCCTGAATGCCATCCCGGCCAAGCCTATTCCCTTCTCACTTTGCCTTTTAAATGATAATTAGGCAGATGGCTCCTGGCTGGGTTTTCCGCCCAAGTTGCCGCGCTGGGCTTTGCTCGCCACGCTCGGCAGGCAGGCGAGGAGACAAAGGAAGAACAGGCCGGCTGTCTGGTGCTGTCAAGATACGAAGCCACTCCTGCCCTGAGCCAAGAGGCCTTGGCGGAGGGGCTGAAAGGGGATGTTCTGAGCCATCGGGAGTGGCTCAGCTGCATGGGCCTTGCCGATGACATTACAGAGTTGGATTTCTCGCAAGGGACCCGGGATGGAATTTGAGGAGGGGGAGGCTATGGCTATGGTGTTGAGTCCCGCAGCAATGGGAGGTGACGGTACAGGGAGGCTGGAGCAATGTCTAAAGTGAGGGTGCTGAGAGCCATTGACTCAAACTGGAAACCCTGTATACAGCTCCTCCCACCCCCCTAGTGCCAGGACCAGTGACTGTGGGGAGGTTATAATGCTGCCTCATTTCCCTGGAGGATTAAGGAAATCTTCCAGGGTGCTCTGGGTCAGAAGCGGAGGGCCGGCCGGCTTGGGAACGACCATTTCAGGACATGACTGACCTGTGATTAGTTGGGAGCTGCTTTGCGGAATGGGGTTTTAAACGGTGTCTTTCTAGCGTGCGCCAGTGGGATCTGCACAGAGCAGCAGCTGGGCTGCATAGGCCCCCGGTTTGAAACCCCTGAGTCCCCTGAAGCTCTGAGTCGTCTTTCTGAGCCAGGCAGATGAAGCCGTGCGCTGTCCCCAGTGGGTTTCCCGTGAGCTCCTCTTCGCTGGGCTTGAGTGGTGGAGACGGGGTGCACAAGTGGAGTGCGGACGCCGCGTCCCGGCTGCTTCCGCACATGCAAGTGGGATGCCTGCGTAGGTAACGAAGCATCTGACTCTGCATTTGCACCTGGCCTGCAGAGTGCTCCCTTTTCCATTCATACAAACGAAGGCCGTTCTCCCGACTGGAATTGTGAACAGCAGCGAGCGCCATGTTCCCCAAAATCCCAGGATGTCCACATGGCTTAATGAATAGTCGTTAGCCACGTGATCAGTCCACGCCTGGCGCGAGGAGCCCCATCTGGCATCCTCCGGTGTTACAATTCAAGACCAACCGTCCTCTTTCAAGCTCGGATGTCTGGCAGGGAGCAGCTCACCAAGCCAGCTAGCACGGTGTAACCTTCCTCTGCCGTAAGTGGCTGCAAGCGGGCCGAGTTCTAGTCCAGCAAATCTCAGGTTTGAGCGGAAATCGCAGCCTGGCCTTTGTAATAAACTCCGCCCGCGTGCGGTCTGCCTCCCGGAGTTCAGTCTCCGTATCGAGCTGGTGCCGATGTGTGGTCCCCGCTCCTATTTCAGCCCTTCTGCGGGCGTGACACCAAACGAGCCAGGGTGGAGCCGGTCTAGACAGAGCAGTAGTTCTGTTGGCTCCTTTTTTTAAAAAGTGGGGGGCCTTGCTGTGAGGCCTCGCTGCAGTGGGCAGGGATGGAAATTGAGCTGAGTGTTCGCTTTAGCAGAGCAATGGGCAAATCCCTGGCATGAGGCATGAACAGAGTGCACAGCTCTGAGGGAGCACCCCTCCCTTC